AGAAGGTTTTTCCAGAGCCCAGTTGGACAACACTGGGGTAGCCGTGAGTGTGCCACTGCATTCCAGCCTGAGCGATGGAGTGAGACTCCAACTCAAAAAAATACATAAATAAGTAAAATAAAATGCTATATAATATTTCAGGGACAGTGTAAGGACCTTATAATAGTATAATTCCATTTACTACCCCTCCCAACCTCTGTACTTTTGATGTCTTATATTTACTTCTATCTATGCTATAAATCTTTTCCAAAAAAAAAATCTTTTTGAAGAATTCAAAGTTATTTATAAGCTACATATAGAACTACTTAAAATAAACTATGTAAAATAAAAATAATTTTGAAAAATATTTATCCTGGGCCAGGCATGGTGGTTCACACCTATGATCTTGACACTTTGGGAGGAAAAGGCAGTAGGATTGCTTGATCCCAATAGTTCAAGATCAGCTTAAGCAACATAGTGAGACCTCATCTCTACAAAAAATATTTTAAAAATTAGTCACTTATGGTGATGTATGCCTGTAGTCCCAGCTACTTGGGAGGCCGAGGCAGTAGGTCTACTTGAACCCAGCAGGTAGAGGTTGTAGTGGCCATAAGTCACCCTGTTGCCCAGGCTGGAGTACAGTGGCATGTTTATGGTCACCACAGCCTCCACCTGCTGGCTCAGGCAATCTTCCCACCTCAGCCTTCTGAGTAGCTAGAACTACAGACATATGCTATCATACCTGGTTAATTTTTTAAAAAACTTATTGTAAAGATGAAGTCTCACCAGTTTGCTCAGGCTGGTCTCGAACCCCTGAACTCAGACAATCCTCTTGCCTCTGCCTCGCTAAGTGTGGGATTACAGGTGTGAGCTACCACGCTCAGCTAAAAAAATTTTTATTTTTTATTTTTTTATTTTTTTTGAATTGGAGTCTCACTCAGTCGCCCAGACTGGAGTGCAATGGCCGCTCCCGGCCACCGCAGCCTCGCCTGCTGGGCTCCGGCGATCCTTCTGCCTCGGCCTTCCAAGTAGCTGGAATTACAGGCATGCGCTACCATACCCGGCTCATTTTTGATTTATCATAGAGATGAGGTCTCGCTGCCCAGGCGGGTCTCGAACCCACGGGCTCAGACAGTCCACTCACCTCAGCCTACCAAAGGTGCGGGATTACAGGCTGAACCACCGAGCCCAGCTAAAAAATTTTTTTTACCCCAATATTTACGCATTCTGGTATTCTTTGTTCCTTCCTGAAGATCCAAGGTTTTATGTGGTATCATTTTCTTTAGCCTGAAGAATGTCTTTTTATTTTGTTTTGTTTTAATTTTTAAGAATGTCTTTTAACATTCCTAGTATTGCAAGTCTACTAAGACAAATTCCTTCAGATTTTGTATATCTGAAAATGTCTTTATTTTGCCTTACTTTTTTTTTTGAGTTGGAGTCTCGCTCTGTCGCCCAGACTGGAGTGCAGTGGCCGCTCCCGGCCACCGCAGTCTCAACCTACTGGGCTCCGGCGATCCTTCTGCCTCAGCCTTCCGAGTAGCCGGAATTACAGGTGCGCACTACCACACCCGGCTAATTTTTTGATTTACTGTAGAGATGAGGTCTCGCCTAGCCCAGGCGGGTCTCGAACCCGCGGGCTCAGGAAATCCACTCACCTCAGCCTCCCAAAGGCGCGGGATTACAGGCTGAGCCACCGAGCCCGGCTTGTCTTACTTTTTGAAAGACAATTTTTTACATATAGAATTCACTATTCTCCAAGTGTTTCAACACTTTAAGGATGTTATTCCAGGCTGGGAGCAATGGCTCATGCCTATAATCCCAGCAATTTGGGATGCCAAAGTGGGAGGATAGCTGAGGCTAGGAGTTTGAGATTGGCCCAGGAAACATAATAAGACCCTGTCTCTCTCTAAAAAACAACAACAACAACAAAAGCACTGTGTGGTGGTGTATATTTGTAGTCCTAGCTATTTGGGAGGCTGCGGTGGGAGGATTGCTTGAGTCCAGGAGTTCAAGACTGCTAAGACTGTACCATTGCACTCCAGCCTGGGTGACAGAGTGAGATTCCATCTCTTTATTAAAAGAAAGAAAGAAAGAAAGAAAGAAAACTAGGTGACAGAGTGAGATTCCATCTCTTTATTTAAAAAAAAAAGGAAAGAAAAATGTTATTCCTTCGTGTTCTGGCCTCCACTGTTTCTGATAAAAAGTCGACTGTATTTTTTTTCATTGTTCCTTTTCATGCATGTGTCTTTTTTCCTCCATGGCTTTCAATATTTTCTTTTTATCTTTAGTTTCCATTATTTTAATTTTAAATTATGTAATGTGTGGTTTTCTTTACATTTAACCCATTGGGGGCTTGTTGAACTTTCTAAATATGTAGATTCACGTCTTTAACCAATTTTGGAAAGTTCTCTGCCATTATACCTTCCAATATTTATTTTACCTCATTGTCTCTCCTCTGCTGTGAGAGGCCAAATATACATAGGTTAGTCTATCTGATATTATCCCATAGATTTTTGGATTTTTGTGGGGGGTCCTTTTTTTTCTCTTTGTATCTCATCTTAGACATTTTCTATTGACCTGTTATCCGGTTCATGGGTTCTTTCCTATGGTGAATCTTGTCTGCTATGAAGCTGATCTAATGGTGGGTTCTTTAGTTTTGATATGGTATTTGTTTTTATCTCTTCTAATCTATTTGATCCCTTTCTGTAGTTTTCACAACTCTACTGAAATTCGCCACCTCTTAAAATATATCTATTTATCCAAACATGTTAGTATTTTTACCATAGTTTCTAAAAAGTTTCTTCTGATAGTTCCAATATCTGGGCCATCCCTATGACTGCTTACTCTCTTAGTCACAGGTCACATTTGCTTGCTTCTTCTTAGATCTCATAATTTTAAATTATTATTGTATGCTAGATATTTTATATAAAATAACAGTAGAGATTGAAGTAAATCTTTGCTTCCTGAAAAGGACACATCACTTCTTAAGTCACTCAAGTTGGGATCAAAGTCAATTTGATCTGTAACTGGGCTGGGTACAAACTTCATTGCAACCTTTGTTTGATTTAGTTTACTACTGGTTTGAAATGTTTTGTGAATGGGATGAGAAGTTTTCCTTCTGTGGGGACTAGAGCTTGAGAACTGCACAACTGCAGGATTTCTTGGAGCTTCACAGCCTAGCTGTCAGCTTTTCAGACCATAGGAGATCTCCCTCTGTTTCAGAGCAGCTGCCAGCTTTTGGGGTTGCTGACAATTTCACTTTAAAGTTCACCTCTAGTTCCACGCCACCTTTCTGCTCCTTGACTTCTCTCCTATCAGAAGGTCTATAAGGGTTTCTCTTAGTTTTTCTGCCCTACTCGAGCCCTTGGCAGTTCAAGATCTGAAAATATCTTGGTGCCACTTTAATATAGAAGAAAGGTGCAGGCGACATTATGTTGCCTTGCAAGGGGATGTGGCCTGTAAACTTGGCTCCCCTATCATGTGGCATGAGACCTGGGACCCTAAACCACAAGACCACATGGAGACTATTCAGCACCTGTTAGTGACAACCCAACAGAGGTTCTCTCCAAAGTTTTCTTGGTCTTCCAGGCAGAGAACATCTCAGGTGGCCACAGAAAGTCAGCCTAGAATTCCTAGAGCACACATGATTCTCTGCTGACTCGGAGGGTGATGAAACTAATTAATACAGCAAACGGAAAGTGGGATTTGATTTTATCTTTAATGGAGACTACTCAAATTTTTTTTTTTTTTTTTTTGAGTTGGAGTCTCACTCTGTTGCCCAGACTGGAGTGCAGTGGCCGCTCCTGGCCACCACAGCCTCAACCTGCTGGGCTCCGGCAATCCTTCTGCCTCAGCCTTCCGAGTAGCCGTAATTACAGGCGCGCACTACCACGCCCAGCTGATTTTTGATTTAGTGTAGAGATGAGGTCTCGCCAAGTTGCCCAGGCGGGTCTCGAACCCGCGGGCTCAGGCAATCCACTCACCTCAGCCTCTCAAAGGCACGGGATTACAGGCTGAGCCACCGAGCCCAGCTGACATACTCAAATATTAACAAATGGTTGCTCCTTTGCTGTACAGTAAAGACAGACCAGGTTAGGCTCAAAGACTTATACAAACAAGAGCTTATTTCTTATTCATACAACTTGTCCGTCATGGGCCACCTGAGGTCCTGCTCCAATTCTTCCACTTTCTGTAATTCAGGAGTGTAGCCCAACTTACATCTAGAACACTGATAGTTGTCATGGCAAAGGAAGAAGAGAAAATGGGAACCATGTGTTGACTCCTAAATTTTCTAGCCAGCAGCGACACACGTCATTTCCATTCACATGCCCTTGGAGAATGGCACTTGGTAAATGGTATAACATTTAGTAAAACTATCTGTGACCTTTCTAATGGCAAATATTTTTTTCCTCCCCTTGTACCTGCCAAATACATTCAGCCATTTACCACTGGTGACAATCTGAATTTCTCCAACCAGCTCATTAGCCACAAGCTCATTAGGGATATTATTTGCCTTACAAGTTATCACAAGTGACAGTTTTACCAAATATTACACCATTTACCAAATGCCATTCTTCATTCTCCAATAAACATTTCCTCACTGCTTGCCCTGGCTCCTCTGAAGCAGTGTCACATGTTTTAGGATGTGTTAGCCAACCAGGACAGCAGGCTAAAAGTCCAGGATTTTGTGATCCTCTCTATCTCAGGTCTTGATATGGCTCCTCTTTATCTGGGAGACCAGTGAACTAAGAAGTCAAGTCTATTTGTCACTCCACAAATGTGCTATGTAATGGTGGGACAAGGACACACCAACCACAACAAACACTCCATTTGGAAGGGAGAAGAATGGCAGTGACATGGCAGTCACTGGCCTACAGCAACTCTAAATTTGCCCTGGGTAGGTGCTAAGGTTGACTTTTTCTAGGGCTGGTAAGGGTCCTGGATTAGTCCCTGAATCAGTTCCTTGGGAGTATCTTCCTAGTCCGTTGTTCTCTATGACCTTTTGCTCCACTTCCTGGGACTTCCTTTTCCATTTTCCTTCTTGGCTACATGTGGGAGGACATTGAATATTTTGCTTTCCTTGGGAAGTGAGCCTATATCCCAGACTGTTTCTCACCTACCAAAGACTTAGAGCCCAAAGTTTGCTTTAAGTTTCAGAAAATCACAACCTCTTTTAGCCCAGTGAATGGTTCTTTGGAAAGTGTAACTCTCAGAAATATAATCAGTTTCTTACCCATTTGAGTTCAGTCAGCTCCATGTGCTAAAAGACACATCCACAGTTCATTGAGAGATGTATCCTCCATCTAGACTTCACTGCAGTTACCTTAAGTTTATCAGGAGTCTATGGGAAAGTCACAAATTTTTCCTCTTTTTTCCAGAGCTATGTTTCCCAACTGTGAGAATTTCCGAGTTCCACCTTAATTCTTTCTGATCTGTTAGCAGTATGCATTAAGACCATACTTTTGATTTGTGGATTTTAATGGGCTTTTATTGTTCATAGGCATTCTCATATTTTTCTTTTATTTGACTGGAGAAGAGAATTATTGATATATGCAAATGCACAAGACTTTAACTTCCAGGAATCTTATTATTCCCTTTCATTCCTACTTGTACACAGGCCAGTGCTTTTCTGGGTTTGTTTCTTTCTCACAGCACCTTGTCACAGGTAGACAACAGCAGTTAAAGAATGTTTAGCATTCTGTTGGCCAACCTTTGCCTAAAGCCACAAGCTCATTAGGGTTATTATTTGCCTTACAAGTTATCACAAGTGACAGTTTTACCAAATATTACACCATTTACCAAATGCCATTCTTCATTCTCCAATAAACATTTCCTCACTGCTTGCCCTGGCTCCTCTGAAGCAGTGTCACATGTTTTAGGATATGTTAGAGCAGTCTTTTTTTTTTTTTTTTTGAGTTGGAGTCTCATTCCATCGCCCAGGCTGGAGTGCAGTGGCACACATGCTCACGGCCACCCCAGCGTACCCACTGGGCTCTGGCGATCCTTCCACCTCAGCCTTCCAAGTAGCCGGAACTACAGGTGTGCACTCCGTGCCCAGCTAATTTTTGATTTATTGTAGAGACGAGATCTTGCCAAGTTGTCCAGGCTGGTCTCCAACCCGTGGGCTCAGACAATCCACTTGTCTCGGCCTCCCAAAGTGCTGGGACTACAGGCTGAGCCATCGAGCCTGGCCAGAGCAGTCTTTTATGGCACAGTTCCTGGAGTTATCGATAGATCAGGTTATGCTACAATAATAAGTCATCCCCAAATTTTACTGCCTTACAGCAAGAATAATTCATTTCTCATCCTCACTCCATTCCATACCAATTTGGTCCACCATTTATAAAACAAGATGATAGCGCAGCCCAAAACGTTTGCCAGCTGTTATAATGAGAGAAAGGAGATCAAGAGGAATCATGTGCAGTTTCTCAAAGTCTCAGTTTAGGAGTAACCCATCACCTTTACACACATTCCATCCACAAGTCACATGACCAAGTCTGACATCTACAGGGTAGGGAAACTCCATGTTCCCCGCTGCGGAACCACAGACAACAATACTCTCTTCCATACTTGCCTATACCTGTCTGTATATTCCTTAGGATATTCTGCATAGACAATCATGTCATCTGCAAATAGAAACAGTTTCATTTTTAACCAGAGGATATCACAAAGAAGCATCTTTAAAAAGTCTTTTCTTTTTTTTTTTTTGAGTTGGAGTCTCACTCTGTCACCCAGACTGGAGTGCAGTGGCCCCTCCCGGCCACCGCAGCCTCCACCTGCTGGGCTCCGGCGAGCCTTCCACCTCAGCCTTCCAAGTAGCTGGAATTACAGGCATGCGCTACCATGCCCGGCTGATTTTTCAGTTTATTGTAGAGATGAGGTCTCGCTGCCCAGGCGGGTCTCAAACCCGCGGGCTCAGGCAATCCCCTCACCTCAGCCTCCCAAAGGCGCGGGATTACAGGCTGAGCCACCGAGCCTGGCTAAAAAAGTCTTAAGGAGAAGAAAGAATTTCTGCAGTGAGAAATTCTTGAGTTGAATGCACAGCTGATAAGAAATGTTTTTTATTTGCATTTTATAAAACTTTTTGGAAACTACCTAATGAGACAAAGATATGATGGTTATTGTGAAGAAAGATGCCTCAGTGGCATGTCTTGGACCTCATAGTGCAGAATGGTTGTGTCTTTTTTGTGTGTGTGTCTTTTGCGTATGTGTCTTTTGTGTGTGCGGCTCTGAGGTCTGATCCTGTCTTTTGTACACTCCCTGGGCAAGTCCCAGTTCTCTGGGTCTCAGGTGTCCATCTACCAAATTGTGGCTTTATACATGATTTCTTTCATTTCTTCCAAACCCATTTATATAAGCTTAAAGTTTCTTTTAAAAATTGTTATTCTTTGAAAATGTTACTAAATGTTTCAGAATATAACACAGAATTGCCTTTTTGCTTTTTGAGCTTCAAACAAGAAGGCATTTACATGAAACAAACATTTTTAAGAGTGTATTTGATCTTGCTGCCTTTGCACCATGTGCTATTCCAGTCCTCTGTTTGGAACATAAAAATCATTTCCACAGCAACTAATTACAGTATAAGTCACAAATGTTGGATTACTACTGCTGTTGAGGAATTAGAAGCAATCATTATGCAAATATTAAAAGCTTCTTAGTTTTGAAGTTCTCCCAAGGACTAATACAAGCTAGTAAAATGCAGGAAAGACAAGTACAATATCCAATGTAGACCTGAACTTTTCAAGTTGGCTTTATGAGTGATCAACTTCACAAATCTGTTTGACACCTTTGTCAAACATCAGTTGAGCGTTTTTGTGTGGGTCTATTTCCGGCTTCTCTTTTCTGTTCCATTGATCGAGTACTTATTCCTCTGTTGACATCACTTTCTTGATTACTACATATTAAGTTTGCTTTTGTTTTTTTGAGTCAGGGTCTCACTCTGTCATCTGGGCTGGAGTGCAGTGGCCCGACCACAATTTGCCGCAGCCTTGACCTCCTGGACTCAGGTGATCCCTCTATCAAGGCCTCCCAAGTAGCTGGGATTAGAGACATACACCACACCACCATGCTTGACTAATTTTTTCATTTTTTTGTAGAGACGAGGTCTCACTATGTTGCCTAGACTGGTCTGAAGCAGTCTTCCTGCCTTAGCTTCCTGGAGTGCTAGAATTATAGGAGTGAACCACCACACTCAGCCTTAAGTCTTAGTACCAAGTAAAGTAGTTTCTCCCATTTTATTCTTCTTCGAGGTTACTTTAGTTATTCTAAGGCCTGTGCCATTGCATATATATTTTAGAATGCACTTGTACACGTCTACAAAAATCTTATAAACCTATAATCAGCTTAGGGATAACTGACATCATTTATATGTTGGGTCTTCTATATTATGAATACAGCATGTCTCTCCATTTACTAAATCTTTGATTTCCTTCATCAGCATTTTGTACTTCTAGTCATACAGATTTTGCATATATTTTGTTAACTGAATATTTAAGTATTATATTATCTTTGCAGTGATTATTAATAATGTTGGTTTTAATTTTGGTTTCTGCATGTCCATTGTCAGTTTATAGAAATATGATTGATTTTTGTGTGTAGATTTTGGGTTTTGTGACCTTGTCAAACTCATTGTTTTTTGTTTTGTTTTTTTTTTTTTTAGTTGGAGTC